AAAAAAAAAAAAAAAAGAAAAGGCACGGTGCCGTTTCTCACAAAGCCACAGCCTGGACAGCGGGTGCTGGAACAGGGCCTCAGTGCTAGGCGGAGGGGAGGGGGTCAGGGCCTCACTTCCAGTTTGTGACCTTCTCCCTGCCTCTTGGGAGACGGTGGAACAGGCCCCAGAGCAGCACTGCTGCTGCAGCTCCTGCTGGGGAGAAGAGTATGGCCAGGCAGGCCTCAGCTGCCCCACCAAAGGGCAGGTACGCAGGCCAGCCTGTGAGGCCAGGGCAGGATCCCGTGCTTAGAAACCAGATCAGTCCCCACCAGAATACTTGAGCCCTGTCTGTTCCCTGTGCTGGCCCACCAACCACTTCCCCACCTCTGATCTGGTCCCAACCATAGCAGTACCCCCCACCATAAAGTATCTAATACATAAGAAAACTCCTAGCCAGGCACTGGTGGTGGCTCATGCCTGTAATCCTAGCTACTCAGGAGGGTGAGATCTGAGGATCACGGTTCAAAGCCAGCCTGGGCAGGAAAGTCCATGAGATTCTTGTCTCCAATTAACCACCAGAAAACCCGAAGTGGTGCTGTGGCTCAAGCGGTAGAGCTCTGGCCTTGAGCTGAAGAGCTGAGGGACAGCGCACAGGCTCAGAGTTCAAGCCCCACGACCAGCAAAAAAAAGAAAACAGAAAAAGAAAACTCCTGAGGCAGGGCAATGGTGCTCATACCTATCATCCTGGCTACTCAGGAGGATGATATATGAGGATCACAGACAGCCCGGGCAGGAAACTCAGACTTTTATCTCCAATAGACCACTAGAAAACCAGAAGTGGGGCTGTGGCTCAAGTGGTAGAGCACTGGCCTTGAGCTGAAGAGTGCAGGGACAGCAACCAGGCCCAGAGTTTAGGCTCCACGACCAAAAAACAAAACAAAAACTCAGAAAACAAAAGGAGCACTTACTTGGGGCTGGGAAGGTGGCTCAGTGGTAGAGTGCTTGCCTCTCATGCATGAGGCCCTGGGTTCAATTCCTCAGCACCACATAGCAGAAAAAGCCAGAAGTGGCGCTGTGGCTCAAGTGGTAGAGCGCTAGCCTTGAGCTGAAGAGCTGAGGGACAGCATCCAGGCCCAGAGCTCAGGCCCCACGACCGACAAAAGGCACTTACTTGTACTCCTGCAGATGACTTTGACTTTGTGGACCCACATTTAGCCCCAAAACAAATTAATGTTGCACTAGTGTTGCATTAATGATGCTTCTTGTGGATTTGAAGTCTGTGCAACTCAGGAAAACTAATCCAAAGAACGTGGCTAGAAAGAGGGGTGCTGGTGGCTCACACCTGTCATCTTACCTACTCAGGAGGCTGAGATCTGAGAAGCTCTGTTTGAAGCCAGTCCATGAGACCCTTACCTCCAGTTAGTTACCAAAAGAGCTGAAAGTAAAGTTATGGCTCAAACGGTAGAGGGGCTAGCCTTAAGTAAATGATGCTCAGGGACAGTACCCAGGTTCTGAGTTCAAGCCCCAGATCTGGCAAGGAAAGAAGAAAGTGGCTGGAGACATCAGGAGCCGCAGAGCCGAGCCTCCTCGCACTGTGGCCTGAGCAGGGTGTGGAGCGGCCACCAGGCCCCTCACATGCTCCGCACACCTGTGGCTGCAGGGCCAGCGGCGTCCCCGAGTCCCAGAACCAGGTCAAGCAGCCACGGGCACGAAGAAGGGTGAAGGCACTGGTCCAGGAGGAGGTGTGGGGATGGGGAAGGGTCTCCAAGAAGCAAAGAAGCCCTTTGGCTGGCCTCTGAGGCCCCTTCAAGCGAGGGAGGTGTTCAGAGCAGCCCAGCCTGCTCTGAAGGGTCAGGGCAGCTGGTGATAGGCACGGTGCCTCTTCTGCGAGCCCCGAGCTCATCTGCTGCCACTGCAGGGTGAGCCCCGTCTGGGGGCGGCGTGGCCTGCGGGCCGTCTGTCGTTTGAGAGACTGGCAGTGGAGCCACAGCTCCCCTGATGGACCGAGGGACAGGGAGGCACGGTGGCGACTTTAGTCAGGAAAGCAGCTTGGGACTGGCCTGGAAATTGGAATCCCAGGCTTGCTTGTCTTTTTTTTTGGAGGGGGGGAGGTTTCCAGTCCTGGGGCTTGAACTCACGGCCTAGGCGCTGTCCCTGAGCTTCTTTTGCTCAAGGCTAGCACTCTACCACTTGAGCCACAGCGCCACTTCCTGCTCCTGCTTTTTCTGCTTATGTGGTGCTGAGAATCGAACTCCGGGCCTCATGTATGCAAGGCAGGCACTCCACCGTTTAGCCAACTTCCCAGCCCAGCAGTTTG